AGAGAGAGAGAGAGAGAGAGAGAGAGAGAGAGAGAGAGAGAGAGAAGGGGTGTATATTCGGCTTCTTCGGATCCCGGACGATGATTAATCTTCCCGCGTTGCGGTTAATTTATCATTCATTGACCGCCGGAGAGACGGCCATCGGGGGTGGCAGGTGACGTAGTAATGGCTCATGGGCGCGCGTTCAGCGCAAATCTAGATCTAGTGGCTGTCGCGTCTCTCTCTCTCTCTCTCTCTCTCTCTCTCTCTCTCTTCTTCTTCTCTATGTGTATGTCGCCGAAAGAAGGTGAGGTAGGTACGAATACATTTAATTCGAGGGACCGATATGGATCACACGGTAACGGCGGCTGCGACTCTCCCCAAGTACACGCCGGCCGGGATTATACGAGAGAGTCGCGTGTTACCGGATACTTAGTCGTCGGCCGCGTGCCAACGGCGACAGGCGTGCGCCCCCGCGCGACCCGAGCACGCCTGCGTACGTCCGAAGAGTTCGTTAACGAGAGAGACACGGGATCACCTTCGAAACCTGCATGCCGGCAGGAATTTTATTACGCGACGATCCCTCCAACGACGACGACGACGTCCACGTCGATCCTGATGATGTTTTCGCGCGAGCTCCGGCTCCCGATTACCGATCCGACACACGCGAGTTTCCAGCGGACGTGAGAGACGCGTTTCTCACTAACGAATTGGTGCTCATCGGTGAGAGGCCGCGATGAAAATCGACGCGGAGGACGATTTGATGGCGGTGAAACAACACGAGAACAAATGATTATTTGTCACGCGCGACTAACAAGATGGGTGTCGCGATTAGCCGTTGAAATATTGTGTTAGTTAAGACATTATGTTGTCCACGTGGGCCTTCCGGATGAGGATGATGTTGATGAGGGAGAGACCGGTTGCGCGGCGATGGTCCAAGCTCGCCGTGTAGCTTTTTCCGCCGTGAATTCCCGTTAATGAAAGAGAGATGATTGATAACGGAGAGAATAACGTGGCGCAAGCCGCATCGGTGTACCGATCTTAATCCGACAGGTCGCGCGGTCGCGCAACATTAATAATAAAATAGAGAGCGAGGTCTGCGCACGCGTGCGCGGGTATTTGCGTGTAAATAAATCCGCTCTGTGTTCGTACATGTGAGAGGGAAAGAGAGAGAGAGAGAGAGAGAGAGAGAGAGAGAGAGAGAGAGAGAGAGAG